CTCAGTGGCTAAGACGCTGAGCTTGTTGATCAGAAACATTGACAATTTGGCGGTTCAAATCCCTAGTGCCACATAACGGAGTGAGCTCCCGTTACTTGTCCCAGCTTCTGCCAACCTAACAGTTCGAAAGCACGTAAAAATGCAAGTAGAAAAATAGGAACCACCTTTGGTGGGAAGGTAACAGCGTTCTGTCCGCCTTTGGCATTTAGTCATGCCGGCCACATGACCACGGAGACGTCTTCGGACAGCGCTGGCTCTTCGGCTTTGAAACGGAGATGAGCACCACCGCCTAGATTTGGAAACAACTAGCACGTCTGTGCGAGGAAAACCTTTACCTTTACCTTACCTATGTATATTATATTTGGGTCAGTGGATATGGATGTGAGCTTGTAAAACATGGTCTAATAAAGTAGTTAGAAAACAAGCAATGGATTGTTTGTAGGACCTTCGCTCTCTATACGCAAACATTGCAGATAAGAGCTTCTGTATTTTATAATATGTCATGGAACAGATGCAGATACAGATGTTTGTGCAAGGATTGAGGTCCCTCCCTGAGTTTGGCTAAATGCAAAACGGGAAACAAAACAAAAATTAGGGGTTTTAGTAGGTGAGCCAAGCTGAGGCAGCTGCCAGAAGTCAACTCCAGGAGTGGATTTTATGAAAACAGAACCAGTTTCCACACATCCAGTGCAGAGTTTGTGTTTTTTTTAATAAATCCTATTTCTTACTCAATAACTTTCAACTTTGGAATTCATCCTGAGCGCCAATCAAGAAAAGACACCTAAGCACTTCTCTCCCAACCACACAGAATCAGATTCTTTCCTTCTATTGGTCTTCAGGGGTCAGGTGACTTTCTCTGGGCATGATAGGCAGGAATTATCTTTGAGAGAGCCAGCTGCTCCTCAACACTCAACAATCATTGCTTGGGGGCTGAGAAATTTGGGGAACTGAACTGCACATCTCTTAAAATAACCAAATGTGAGAAATATTGTTATAGGCAATGCATCGCATTGTGTTAAGATGGAATCAACTTATTCTCTGAAACACCTGAAGGTAAGACAAGAAGCAGTGGATGGAAACTAATCAAGGAGAGGAGCAACCTAGAAGGAAGGAGGAATTTCCTGATCGTGAGAAGAATTAATCAGTGGAACAACAAAAGTTGTTGGGCGCTCCAACTCTGGGAGTTTTAAAGAAGAAATCAGACAACCATTTGTGTGAAATGATATAGAATTTCCTTCTTGAGTAAGGGGTTGGGCTGGAAGACCTCCAAGGTCCCTTCCAACTCTGTTATTCTATTATACCCATCCTTGAGTCTGGTGCCAAAACACAGTTTCTCCTCAAGCTTTATATTAAGGTACTTTTGGTCTGGTTGCCCATGGTGATCCTGGAAGCCTTATACTGTACGCCTTTCTCTTTCTTCTTGCTGTCCCACCCACCCCCCAAACTCTTTTCTGCCACTTCAAAGGAGGAAGGATGAATACTTACTGCATTTGAGGTCCTTAAAAGTTCACACTTTTGCCAAGGCCTTTTCGCAGCAACTGGACACACGGTTTCTCTTACTCCATACACGATATGGAGTTTTTTTTCAGGACCTGTCTGAAAAGATGACTTACGTGAGTGCTGTTGCAGTTTGATTTATGTATTTAATAAATTGATATAGCTGTTGTGGCCCGCCAGTGGCCAGCAGAACGGGCAGCTGTTGGACAGTGAGGACAGTGAGGAAGTTGGGGATGAACATGGGCCAGTCCTGGAGACTGGGGAAGGCTCAGACGAGGGCTCTGCATCAGAGGCAGAGTAGTGGTGGTGGTGGGGCAAGGCTGTCTGGCAGTGATCAGCT